CAAAAAAATGTCGTAACCGTAGAAAAATAGCATTTTTCGTTTGGATATATAAATGAATTTCAAACTTAAAAGCTTTATTTACAATTTTATTTCTCTATCCAATTCACTTTTGACTAACTTGAGAGTTAAATTTAGCTGTGATCTTCTACTATTAGATCTTTTGAATTTGGGCTTTTTTTTACCCTTTTGTTTTGGGCTGAGAGAGAATTGGGCCTTTTTTTTAAATATTAGGCCCATATTCTGTGCTCTTTAGTTCCAAAAATGTTAGAATTTCATCAATTTTTTTGAGGTTTTTGAGTAAAAATTCAAGTTTTGCAGTGAAAATAGGTCAGCAAAGGTTATGGCTTCAGTGAACACCGCCGAAAAGCTGTCTACGATGCCGGAGATAGTGCTGTAGCCTGCAGCCCATCAAAGATATCGGGTACCGTCAAGTTGTTGGGATCAAAATCTCTCTCTAACCGCATTCCCCTTCTCGCTGCTCTCTCTGAGGTAATATTATTGTATATGTGAAGATATGATCTTTTAATTTGAGTGTTAAATATGAGTCTATTTGGTGATTATGAAAGCTGATTTTGCCTGTAACTTTATTTTACATTGGAGGGATATGATATTGAGCATTAAGTGTGAATTTGTAGTCTAAGACTGCAATTAGTGTAGGGAAAAGTTAATAAATAATAAATTGTCTGATAATCAAAGGAGGATCTAATGTCAAGTGAATATCAGAAATGTTAGAAATTAGATAATCTTTGTCATTTACTAGGCACTACTAGGAAACTATTGGATTTGGTTATTACCATAATTAGATTGACAGGTTAGAGTAGTTAATGAAATTATATTCTTTAATGTGCTGTAAGAAATTTTGTAATTTGGTAGGAATGATGCACTAGATCCCTTACGGAAGTAATTCATGGTTCAAAGCATAGCGGTGGGAGTGTCTTGTTATTATAACCTAAATTTTTTTANGGTTTAAGGAATAACGGTGGGAGTGTCTTGTTATTATAACCTAAATTTTTTTTTTGTCAGGTTTTAATTAGATTTGTCGAAGATGTTGGTGCTCAAAGGTAGCAATTTTCTTCGAATCATTTACCACAGGCTTCTGCCTTTATTGTATGATTTCCAGCCATCCAATCTAAGACCAACCGTCTCCACAAAATCAACTTTGATATCAGGGCTCCCTGCCAACGTCATCGTCAACGTCACTGCAATATTGGAAAAAGCAAATGCAATCCGTCAGGTCCATCTCTCTCACCCTCTGACCACATCTGAAACAAGATTTTAACTGCAACATCACTCATAGACACCTCAATGACCATATTAGTCTCCAATTTGAGAACTCCCACGAAAGAGAGAAGCAAAATCTGCCTTTAGCACCCTTGCTGTTTTTGTTCAAATATGTTAACCCAGAGTAGTTTATGCAAGAAGCAACCACATATTTTGTAAATATGTTGAAGATTTCTTTAGTAGCTTTCAAGAGTAGAATGGGTGGGAAACTTTGCCAATTTTCTTCTTCAGGTTTTACTTTATGCATGCACTTCTCCTTCTGGGCACTTCGATAATTTCAATAGAATTTCTTCATTTCGATAGAATTTCTTGGCATTGTTGTATTTGTAACTAAAACAACTTCATCAGTATCTGAGTTTTCATTGTTGTTTTTTGTCATAAAGAACTTTTTCCTGGGACTTGTGTCCAGTTGTTGTGCACTTGTTACGGGGAGTCGATGAAGTAACGGGTCGTTTTATTTTTAAACATTTATTTAGGTTGATAGAATTCTCTACTCATCGGTTGTCTATCCATATAACTATGGTCTCATCCAACAACTGATAAGTAATGGGTTAGTTTTAATACTCAATTTCCAAGATTCGCAAGTCATGTTCTTTATCATGTTTTACTTATAGGAGCAAGGTGATCTGAAGCTTTATGAGCTTTGGAGTCTGAAAGAGCTTTTCAACATGCTGCATTTGTTCAAAGTACAGTTGGGATGTGTACGGCAGCTTCATATCGAGTTAGAAGTCGACCCAACAAGGCCTTTTCCATACCTATCTGGCGATTAATATCAATGCCATCTCTCTTCTTTATTTATGTTTTGTCAAACTGCAATTGTCGGAGCTTAATTTGTGTCTAAATTATTTTCATATATTTATGCTTTCTTCAACATGTAAAATAATTCCTAGTTTACACGCAAAAGGTTTTTCTCATGAAAAAATTCATCTTAGTATAGTCTTAACAAACATTAAATTATGTAATTTATAAGAATTCAACGTATTTAACACACCAACATTACCTTCAAATTAACCCTACCCGTGCACGGGACAAATTCAAATTGGGATAAATTATGTTGGTAGAGTGCGTGTTAAAAGTGACCAGAAGGATTATTGATTACATAAGTTTTAGTATGGTGGAGAATGTCGACGAATTTCTCGCATATCCATGGGGTCGTTAGGCCTATTACAAGAAAGGATATAGAAAATGCAACAAAACCAATGGAGAATACAACAAAATCAACAAACTGATACTAAATATTCATTACATGGATATCCATTAGCCTTTCAAGTATTTATTTTTTACTTTCCTAAATTGTCTTTTTTTTTTGAAAAAATAAAATAAATCTTACTATCTGATATTTGTTTCACAATTAAGTTACTTCCAGTATTATACTGTATGAAACAACTCTTAATGATCTTCAGTAATGTCATATCAATCAAATCCTTCACAAATAGAGACATCGAAAGATACAGGCTCCAATATTCTTATACACGATGAAGGAAACCTAAAGCTTGCTGATTTTGGACTAGGACCATCATTTTTAATTATATCATGGATAGTTCTGCCTCTTTTACTTTTTTAATTTTTGGATTGCATCTTAAATAAAGAACACAGAAGTCGTTATTGTGCATCTTCTTCTACTTCACAAAAAATAACCCATTTAACACACCAACGCTACCATCGAAATCATCTGCCCATGCAATAGGCACTAGTTAGAATATAAAATGCAAACCACTTGTCAAGAAAAGTGCAAATAAAAGTTTTACATAGACTAGATATAACAATGATCTCGAGCTTGTTGAGAGATTGAGCTACTTTGGATATTAGGTTTACTTTTTAGCATGGAACTCGAAATCTAACGAGTGGTAGCTATGCCTCAATTTAGGCACGATGAATCTCCAATCATTTGCGAACGAAATGATTAGCTTTCAACACAATGTTGTCCGGTGATTTAGAATAGATGGAGAATGTGTTGCTTTCTGATTTGAGAGATGGACACAGATTATTGGTTGAGGGATCGAGATGATGTATTCCACTTAAGAAGATTGTTGAGAAAGTACATACAAAATATTTCACATATGAAGAATTTAACTCGACTCATTTTGGGATAGAATCCATCTCAAAGTCCATTTTATTGAAGAAATCAAAGTTTTTTTTTATTAGATTGTGCAATCAACTATACACATCATGGGAAATTGCAGAAAATTGACAACAGAAAGAATAAAGAATCCAACGTACAATCCAAAAGTCATGCGCAACTGAACACGATCAATTTATAGGCCGGCAGTGAATGGCACATTGGTTGCAGGCAGCCACGTCCGGCCAGCAATAAAATTTGCTACCGTGAACCTTGATGCCTCAGTTGA